AAAAAAAATAAATTTTATTCATAAATCACTAAAAAAAAACCCAAATAAGATAGTAACAGTATATTAAATAAATTCAGACATAAATGAAGTTGTCTAACTTGTATACTAGTATATTTTTTGAAAATGCTAATTGGTGTGTACTCCAGTGATAATAATTAACATTGTGTGCATGCAGTTTTAATAGACACATGATATTCTATTGGCAGAGATAATATCTGTTGTCATATCAATGATTAGTCAAAACAGGATCATATTTAAATTAGTTTGAAACAATAACATATAATGCAGAATGAAAATATACTGTAGATTTAGTATAATAGTTCTTCAAAACAGAATTTAAGAGATTGATTGAGTCACAAAATAAAATGTTTAATTTAAAAAATAGCTCACTAATTACATTGAAATTATTATACTTTCAACATTTTTGGTCACTTTATAATTTGTAGACCTAGAATATCCAAAGAATTAGAGTGCATTTTTCTTAATTTCTCCATCTTTATTCACTATCCAGTTACATATCGTTTTTATTACCTTTTATTTTCATTTACTCTGGTTTATTTATTAGGTTTGAGTACATTGTTTTTCCACTGGACCTTTCCCATTTCCTTTATACATCGCCCCCTCCCCATCCAATTTTGTGACCCTATGATTAGCCTCCCTCCCCAACCATACATTTAAAGAAAAAAATAATTTTCAAAATTATCTACAGGGGATTAGTATCCTCCCTATCTTCCCTTTTACTATGAATCTCATCATACATTATAAATGTCTGTTTTATTTGATGAAAAATCTTCTGCTGATTGCTTTGCCCATGGCTTCCTTCACATCCTTGTTCCTTAGACTGTAAATCATGGGGTTCAACATGGGGATCACTGTGGTGTAAAATACCGCCACCATTTTTCCCTGTTCCACAGACTCCTCAGTTGGGCTTCTAAGGTACATGAAGAAGAGGGTTCCGTAAAATATAGTAACGGCTGTCAAGTGCGACCCGCACGTGGAGAAGGCTTTCTTTCTTCCTTCTGCCGAGCGCATTTTTATGATAGCAATCAGGATAAAGACGTAGGAGACAACAATGACCAGTAAAGAGTAGGAGAAGTTGAGACCGGCTAGTGTGCGCATGGTGTATTCTTTAATGAAGGTTCCTGCACAGGCCATCTTGATGAGAGCCGGGTCAGCACAGTAGAAGTGGTTGATCTCAATGTTGCCACAGAAGTACAAACCATGAGTCCAGAGCGTTGAGATCAGACTGATAAAGAAGCCGTAGATATAAGGGAAAGAGATCAATCGAATGCAGACGGTCCTGGACATTCTGCTGCCGTAGAGTAGAGGGTTGCCAATTGCCATGTACCTGTCAAAGGCCATGACAGCGAGGATGAAGACTTCCACGTGGACAAAGGCGATGAAGAAGAAACACTGCACGATACAAGAGAGATCTATGGCATTGGGAAAGTCACCTGCCAGAGATGTCACAGAGGTGACACTCTGAAGTTACCTTCAAAGAGGGACCTCTCTGGAGTCCTCAAGAGTAGTAACCTCAATTTAAAGATTAATGTGTGCTGATTCAAACCACAGTCTTTGTAATTACCTACTATGCATCTAACAGCTGGATAGTGACAAAGAATGACAGGTAAAGAATCAATGCATTTGAGTTGTGGTGTTGGACGTGAGTACTTACTATTTCATAAACTGTCAAAAGAACCAATAGATACGTCTTGGGAAAAGCAGCCAGAGTGCTTCTTGGTGGCAAGGATGACAAAGTTTCATTTTACATAATTTGGATATGTTGCTAGGAGAGGTTATTTCTTGGAGAGGGACATTATGCTTGGAAAAGCAGCAGGTCAATGAAAGAAAGACCCTCAACAAGATGGGTTGTCACAATGACAGTAAAATTGGGCTTAAGTGTATTCCACATGATGAGGATAATGCGGAAGAGAGCAAAGTTCTGATTTTCTAATCCTAGAATCACTGTAAGTTGCAGTTGACAGGACAAAACCTAACGACAAAAACAATTGCCTTCTAGGTCCCTGAATATGCAAATGGTTAAGTTCTGTACTGCTAACCCACAGTCAAGCACTTGGTAATTCAAACTCATCCAGAAGTGCCTCACAAGAAAGGCCTGGCGTCTACTTTTGAAAAAAAACAGCCACTAAAAATTTTATGATGTAAAGATCATCTCCGAAAAACAAGTCGTCACTGTGAGTCAGACTCAATTCCATGGCAATTTACTACCAATGATGCTGTGTAATTTACCTTCTCAGGATCACTCTAAGGAAGGTGATACAAATAAGATCGTTGCAAATAGAGATACCATTTGACCCAGCAATTCCACTACTGGGAATATACCCTGAAGAGACCATAGCTGACATCCAAGCAGATATATGCACACCCAT